ACGATGAGATACAAGTGCTTTACACCAAGAATCCCACCACTAATGAGACGTATCCCATATCACACGGTTATGTCGGCTCCAGTCTCTGTGCGTTCAATCATCTGAATCCCGGATATAAGATATTTACGTTGGATAGCAATGTATGTCAATATTGATCGCATTTTTACAAAATAAATGTTTAATTAAATATTGATTTATATTCAATAATTGTATATTAAGGGAAAGGCATTGGATTTCGACATACATTACACTAATATGACGGCCGATAACATCGCCGGCAAAGATGTGATTCCCAAATGGACTTCAGAAAAGGCACTGAAAAAGGTCTACGGCTTGGATTCGTTGACAACCGACTCGTGGCACCAGTTCTTGACAAAAGCCCAAACAGAGGACAAACTCGTGAACTTATATTTCAATTATTTCCACAGATATAGTGAAACATTTGTAAATGTTTTAATAAAGAAAGGCATTTATAATATGAAAGGATTGCGACAATGCATACGACAAAGAAGTCATATAATGAATCCTCTCTATAAAGAAGAACCACTAGAATGTAGTTTATATTGACAGCACATGATTCATATTGAATAAAACATATTGTTATAAACTTTATAATATAAAGCATCATTAAATAAATTAATTTTAACCGCTATATAAAATGAATGTTTACAACTTAATTAAAAACAATTTACAAACTGTAAATCTAAAATGGTCATGTATGTAATGTATTAATATGTGAATACTTTATTCATTTTAATGGAGTGTAAAATAGAGAGAATTTTTTCCAAAAAAAAAAATTAATTGTAATTCTTTAAATGTATCATGCTTTTTGTGCAAGTGGACCTAAATCTTTATCGTTATCATTAATAATCTACGTTTTTCTTTCTTTATTTAAGGGTAAGATATATAACATATAAGAATTATTTCAATTTTCTGTCATTTGTGTTTAAATCTATCTAAATTTAGATTATAATTTTTTAAATCTTTTTAACCCCATTGATATTTCTTTAGTTTATTATGTTATAGTATATCATTTATTTCTGCATTGAGGCAAAAACATTTTGTTTTTAAAAATTACCAGTTTATATTTTTATTTATTATAAAATTTAGATAGACGTTAAAATTACAAATTATTTATAAGCAAACTATGCTTTTTACAAACAAATTTAAAAATAGTTAATATTGAGTTTGAATAGAAAAATGTCAATTCATGAGAATTTCAATAAAACTCGACTTAAAGTGTAATTTGATTTTTGGTCTCTATTTTCTTCATTAAATCAACGTTTATGTGAGTCTTCGTCAGTATATTTGAGATTTTCAGTTCATTTAAACTATTTTCTTATAAGAT